CGGATGTGATCACGTGCCAAGCGAACAGATTGACCACTTGCACACACCAGTTTATGGAAGCTAGCAACAGGTAAGCTTCATCCTCTTTTTCTTCCGGTTTGAACGGGAGAAACGCGGTTGGTGATACGTCTGTGGACGTTTGGGACTGGACAGCGAGAAGTAGTGGACAACCAAGAAGTGCATCAATGGCTGAAAGGGAATAGGAACAGTGTAAAGTGAATAACATCGGTGGTATCTGTTTGTAATGTGGTTGACCGCTCGTTGGTTGGTGGCACATTCCACAAAATGACCGGAAGATTCCCGAAACGTGTTCTACAACTTTAATTGAGAACTCACTCGCTTGTGGCAAATAAGTGACAAGTAATAGCCCTGTGATCTGTGGAACTCGACCAGTTTCCTTTAGTCACAAAAGCAAATATTCGACACTCGAAGGCCGCATGGTATTAGAAATCTATAGCAATTCGGGCGCATCTCAATATTGCAACAGATGATCGATCATAAATACCCGGTGGAAAACATTAGGGATTGTGCGAACCTGTCCTATAGCTTGCACCTTGTACCCTAAAAGGGACGATGGTTTGTGCTCGGGTTGAAGTCATATCCTGACATCTTCAAAAGAACAGCACTGCTCATTGAGATATCCCACCAAACTAATACTCGAATACCCATGATTTGACTCACTGGGGAATGGAACTACTGATAAAATGATGTAGATGAGTAACGAGTGGTATTGCTCAACAACTCATCTGGATATGCATGTGAGCCTTCGAAGGCCTTAGTATGGTTGAGGGTGAGTGTTCTGGATTACCGCTAATCACCCCTCCTCGCAGACGTCTAATAGAGCAAGTAATGGACCGTCATAGATTACGCTGGCTGGGACATGTGCTACGCATATCACCAGATAGGTTGCCACAGCGAGCGACGTTTGCCGAGGTAGATAGCAATTGGAAAAAGATCAAGGGAGGTCCAACTAACCTGGCATGAGGGTATGAAAATCCTAAACAGGAGACTAGGTTACACAGGTCCCGTTAGGCTCTCTGGCTGGGGACCCCGAGATCATAGTCACCGATGGTTAGAGACACTGAGCGATATGGCTGGATGCCGCAAACAGTGGCACTCATGCATCCACTCATTAATCTTGCAACTTCTGTCTATATGAATTCGCTCTTTCGCTTGCATTTGCTCTCAATCTTCATTCTGCTGTTTTATCCAAACGAGCATCTAAAAGACAGCAACCAAAACCGGNAGTGAAGTGATCTGAACAGCTCGTGAAACGCTCCTAGGCGACCAAGGGTCTCAAATAACTTCTGTTGAGGAAGCCCTACTCACTGCCTTCTCGTGGCGCATGTATTTTTACACCAAACTGAGGGAACAAAAAGCCAATATCTATATCGATGAACCGCAGAGTTCTCCTTGCGGAGTTGGTTAGAAACCCTGATTCCAAACCAACCAAAGAGAGATGTACAAATCATACACACACGCCTTTCTCGTCATGGCAGTGATCAACGGTTCGATTGGACATCAAGGTGTATTGGGCACCTTGGACGTTTGACCCGGTCCAAAGGGCTTATGATCCAAGGAACTGGACACCGGCCTTCAATGGACTGCGGATTCCGAGCTCCGTCCTATTTTCTTGCAGGTCGGGACACCTCAAGATCATCCCCCTTCTTTGGTCAGGGCCATCGGCAAGTAATATGCTTACACAACCTATGAACTCATTCTACAGATTTTCTTTTCACATGTTGTGACACACCTGCCAGTTCTTTGTCATTGGTTACGTGTCGAGCACATAGTCAAGATAACCTGTGCAGTGAGACTATGAAGCAGACAATTAATTTGTGAACTGAAAAGCAGAAAGAACATGAACACAATGCATAGTTTCGCTGCGAAAAGCTTTGTCGCCAGAACTACCGACAAATCACAAATTACTCACTGCCTCGGATTTAATATCAGATTTCAAATGTGTGGAACCGTATTCGGATTCCGTAGTATCACTTTGTTTGACAAATGTTACTGTCCAAGTATCCAGTCAAGTCCTGACAAAAATATGATCCTCATCAATTGACAAATAAACCAAAATGAGCCGATTGGTTACTTTGTGTCTTTCGTCCGATAGAGTAGTGGGAGAGAAAGACGAACAAGGTGTAGTAAAATGTACAAACAAATGTAACCGGAGAAAAAGACGAACACACACACACGTACCGTCAAGCCGACCGTGTAGTCGAACCGATTCGGTCACTCCGATTAGTTTAAGCTGAGACGGAAGAGCCAACGGGTTTGGCGGATAGAGCACCTTCTGACCTCGGGAGCTGACCGACTGGCCAATCCGATGCTCACGCAAACTATTTCGATAGGGACGCCATGTGGGACCGATTGCTACGGCCACCTCGCACATGGACGGATCGTTCAGGTTCAACTGACAGTTGTAGTCCTCCAAAGACGAATTGTCCATTACAAAGTCATTCTGTGTGTGAAGGACAAAAACGAAACAGAATAATGTAAAAAGGCTGTGTGAAATCACATCCTCGTTTCTCAATGATTGACTTATCGATCGATATATCGTGGGACAGTAAAACGGAATACGGTATGAACGGGGTGTGACGAGAAACTTCTTTGTGTTTGCACTTTAAACAATGACCAGCAGAACCGACGATGAACACGTGGGATACAATCGATCACTTCTGGTACGATGACGATGATGATGACTGAGTTCAAGTTTGTTGTATTCTATTTCGAAATGAATATCCAGCAGCAACCACATCAATAAACCAACAACAACCAAAAAACAGCGAGCCGAGTACAAAGTCATCAGAAAGCAACCAAAAACAGTTAATCTAACTGAGTTTCTCAGCTCAATATGAATACATTCAGACTGGTAAGGCAATCAGTCACGGAAAGGCACAATAGATGATTGGTGCAATTGGGCTCTTGGATCTGGAACACGTGATCCGAACGGGTGACCGATATTTACCGAGATTGGTATAGAGAGAATATGCGGAGTTGGCTAAGATTTTCCTCAGAAACGTTTGATAAGCCTCAGGATGTTGGGAAGTAATTCATAAATCGATTCAACAATTTTGATCAATTTCAGTTATCTTCCTCCCAATCGAAACTAAGCTTAAATGCCTATTCAGTTTTGCACGCTCTTCATTCCCGACAGATTCCACGGTGATCAATGACAATCCTTTTCACCTCGTATAAAAGCTTACCGAAATTCACCTATACCCAATCTTGTACAGAGAAAACCAAGTGAATTTAGAGAGTCGAGTTTGGATTACCCCGTTCGATTGTTCAGAGGCACCAGACACTTTCGGCTCTTTGTCGGTCGCCACAAGTATTTCCATCGCAATGAAATGCATTTAATTAGTGTGGAATTAGCGATCCTCGAAAGAGTGAAACCCACACCCAAAACCATCAAGAGTGCCTGGTGCCTCTGAACAATCGAATGGGCAAATCCAAACCTGAGTGAACCATTCACACAAGATGATGACCATCGACCGTGTAACTCAGGGGTAAGGGTTTGAAGTCCCGACCCGAAGGTTCGCGGTTCGAGTCCTGATAGGAGGGACACAATAATTACGCAGACTGCTGACGAGTCCAAAACAGGACGAAACAGTTGTACAGGCATTTTGTCGGTCATGACAAATATTTCTATTGCAATTAGAAAACAAGTAAACTTCATCTTAACCTTGGACTCTGATAAAACCCCTATCTGTAAACACTTTTTCCCCGTTGAATGTGTTCTTTGGGCGGTTAGCGTGTGCAGCTTTTTAACTGAAATATTAGCTTGGGAGGTTGCAAACGTTAAACAAAATACAAGAAAGGTTGGAGAATCTATCTACTCACCCGATTTACTGGTTTTCCAGCGAAACACTGAAACAAAACATCGCCTGATAAGCACATAAGGAAAATTGAGGCAAACCAATGAGTTTCCCGCAATCCACGGAAATAATTTGCGTTGATCCAAGTAACAATTTCGTGAAAATCATTTGATCATTCAAATACGGTTGTTCATCTTCCATTTTACGGCTGGTAAGAAATATTTTCCCCGATGTGGAAACCCATTTCTCACTGCTCAATCTAACAAGGAGATATTTTGATTGACTACAAAATTCTTCCGTCATGCACTTACAAACACACATACAGTAAGTTATTTTGTAATTTATATCGTTTCTAATGCATCGTAAAGGAGACAGCTTTCACACGATCGACAATACAAACAGGTCTGTATGTGCTCGGAACGATGCCAATGGGAACACAACTGGAGCACGAAAATGTATGGTTAATGGTTGTAAAAAAACTGAAACAGTGGAACTCAAGCGATCGTTCCAGGTTTCCCTGTAATGAAATTGGGTCTTAAAATATGGAAACTACAGTCTGTCACTTCTCCGGTCAAAAATGTTCTATTCTCATCGGCAGAGTGGAAATCCGCGGGCGAGAGAGACAAAACGAGCATAGGGGACTATCTCGTGATTGTGAGACTTGCCTGGAAATCACGCAATACACGTGCTCCCATCCATGCGAGTAGCCGATCAGCCTGAACAGTAGGCGGTATCCCGAACAAACTTTTCAATGGGTTTTTCGGCGCCGGGGTTGTGGGCGGGGTGTTCGGACTCTCCGCGGACCGGTACTGAGCAAGTCGACTGAAACAAGCACTGAGTTGGTCGAGCCAAAAAGCATATAGCTGAGAGTGGGACCCGGTGGCATGTTCGACAAGACCGATCAACTGGAGTAACAATCGGGAGGGAGGAGTGTGGACACGCGGAGGAACAAGTGCACTATCTGAGATCGTCCGTGTGGTTCGACCGTGCTCGTCAAGATCATCCGCATCTTCCTCGGTGTCCTCAATTGGGAGGTGAATCTCGTGTGGATCATCGGCCATCCCGGTTCCCGGGCCACGCAGGCTCAAACAACTCGTGTTGCTAGTTCGAGAAGTACTGGTAGTCGATGTGCTTGCTCGTCCGTGATCCACATGTGCCAGCTGACTGGCTAGAACAATGGACTAGAATGAGAAAATTTGATGCGATGCAGCTTGAACCGGGAAAGTCATACCGTAAACAAATAATTACACGGTATTATGGATCTTTTTATTACATTATAGTGCGGGATAGATAGCAGCTTAAACTTCATAGTCATAAGGACTTATTGTCCACTCATGAAAACAGGGAACCTAAGCACTGAGATTTGGAATATCGTACTAATAGGGCGCCACTAGCATGAGCGCAGCATTGAGCCAGCCACCGCCGTTGGGTGGCGGGGTCTTATCTTCGGATCCGTGGGCCCCGAACACGTCCGGGACAGTGACTTAAACCGGTTGAACGCCATAAATTTTCTAAGGGTTATCTCATTTTGATCAAAGAATGCAAAACAGAGCACAGTTTTACGGGAAAATCTGTCATCCGCCATCCATCGAGGCATAGATGGAGGCGATCGAGAAGTGCTATTTTTCATCGTGAAGTCTTTCAGTCAGTACGCCGAAAAGGACGAACAAGCGGTGATGAAATACAGTCAACAAGCGAACGCTTGGCTTTCACACCACAGGCGGTAGTCACCGAACTGCGCGACACACAGACGATGAAGCGCGAGGATGAGGTTGGATCTGAAAAGTGGAGTGTGATGATTGACTGAGTTCACACAGCGTGGTACTGAACAGTGTTAGTCAAAGGGGAACTATCCGATCTGATTGGTTTCTGACACGCATTACCATACCAGCTATAAGCTCATTGATATCTCCGGAGAGATAGGTACAGTTGTCTTCACAATTGAAGAGAAAAACTAGACAGAAAAGAAATTCAGTTTTCTCAAAAGAAGCTTAAAACTATACGTACCGCATACTTCACATGAGCTCACACCAAGGAAGCTTCGGTGGTCGGTTGACACGTAAAAAACCACACCAACCAAATGATGCACAACTCTTCATGAATCGACAGACAAACAGTTATGAGGAAAATTCACAATAATTTTAAAGATAACAGTTACGTGAATATTAGGTGTGGAACACAATAAGGTGGAAATTGATAATCTACAGTTACTGCTCAGAAAAGTGTATTGCACAATCAGTTTACTGGGGCTTTTTTACGTCTTGGAACATAGAGGCCGAACAAACCACTGATTAGCGTAAAACATAGATCGAGTATTGGGGTAAGCTAAACCGTCGCGGTACTTCTGTGACAAAATTAGCTGGGTCGGTGACACAGTGGTGGAAACAGCACGCATAGAGAGAGTATCCGTTGAACGTGAATGCACGACCGAGCACCTATACAGTGTGACTAAAAGGTCTGGCTCACAAAGCAGTGGGACTGAAGTATCAGTGTGGGAACTTCCTGTGACTTACCACATAAGACCTTCAGGTTTCTCCTGTGTTCGTGTTTTCTGGTGCTTTAAAATTATTAATCCACTGTTCAGGAGTGGATCTGGGCCCCACGCACTCAATGAGGCAAGCATAACATAAACGGGGCAGTAGCTTACTGTTTTCTATCAGTGTACATTCGACCGTACAAAGAGTACTCCATCCAAGCTTGGAGGCCTTGGTTACAACACGATTGCAAGATGCTTGAGCGCCCACAAAGGATGGCCACCAAGATGGTCAATGGATTGCATGGCCTCACTGAAGAGAGATTACGATCATTGGGACTATATTCTGCTCAGTACCGCCAAATTCGGGAATTGATTTTGACGTATCAAATACTACATATGGGTGTATGGGGTACCCGGTGGGAGTAGCACCTCTGACTCGGAGGGCTGTCG